TCCTACAATGGACTAGAACTAGAGGGGCTCCTCCAGGAGCCCTCAAGTTCTGGCTGGTGCTGTGCAGAGCGAGAGGGGGTCTGGAGGCCAAGGGCCAGCCATGGCCTGTGATGGGGACAGAGTATAGACTCAGGTGACATGGACATGGTCAGAGCCAGAGCACATACACAGCCTCAGCCTCGCTGAACCTCAGTTTCCTCGCCTGTTCAGTAGGGGCTGTTCATGGCAACCACCCCACAGGGTTGTTCTGGAGACCAGGAGACATACAGCAGTCACTCAATAAATGTGAATGCTTCACATGTCTCCCGAAGGGGAATTCTGACCTGGAACCCCTCTCAGGCAGCCCAGTGGGTGTCCTTTCTTGCTGTGTAACTCCTCAATTAAAGCACCCCTTTCCCTGGAGCTCAAGAGAAGACAATTGACGGCTGAACAGACAGGGAAAACAACTGACAGCCGAACAGACCTGAGCTCAGGTCCCCGGGGCCTGCAGTGCCCAGTCATGAAGGTGCCATTTTCACGCTTTCTCCACGCCCTTCTCAAGAGCTGACACACGCTGGGGTGTGCCCCAAGCACCCTGGGCCCATCAGGGTTCTGGTACACGGTACGCTCAGAGCTCGCCCTGGGCTCCTAGTGGGACAGAGCTGGGCAGCGGCTCCCGCACATCTGCAGTCAGTGAGGTCTGGACCGGCTCAGAGCAATCCACCCAGGAAGGAACCTCCTCCTCCTCCGTATGCAGGGGCTGAGACCGCAAGCCAAGTCACAGGCTTTGACCTGCCCTCAGGGGCTGGTGGGCCCGGCCTCTTCCTCCTCACTGGTGCCCTGGCTCAAAGGCATAAATGCTCCACATGCAGTCTTGCTGTGACGCACACCTGTCCTGCTGAGGCCACTGGACTGTAACCAAAGTACACCTTTCCTCTTTACAAGCTAGTGGCCTTTGATGGTTTGTTACAGCATGGATTAGTGTTAACTCTTGTCACAGCAACACCTTATACTGACCTTTCCAGCTCTGTGCCTTTCAATAACGCCTGCTCACACATCTACAGGGGGCTGGGACACTGGAATTGTCACTGGCTCTGGGCTCTCAGCAGGCTCCATGTTCTAAGGCCTTTCACGCACATGCCTGCCCACAGCCCGGGGACACATCTGTGCTACAGCAGAGCTCACGCCAGTGGGAGAGGAGCTGCGCTGGGTGGAAGGAAGAAGGCAGGGTCACATGGCGAGAGTCCTGTGCATGCAGGGTCAGAATCAGGCTGGGGGACCTGGGAAGGCACCTGGCTCTGGCTGAAATGCTTAGTAACCCCACACCACCATTTTCTTGGGATGCAGGAGGGTGCTGTCCCGGAAAGAACCAGACCCACTGTTCCTGTGGAACCGTGGCATCCCCTGCCAGGCCCAGGTATGGACCCCTGGGTGGAGTGCCTGCTAGGATCCTGCTACTGCCTGCAGAGATGTGGCTGGTCAGGAGAAGGCGGGCGTCAGCTGGACAGGCTCCTGTGGTCTCACCACTGCGTGCTTCCTACCGCCCTGTCACCAAGCTCATCCCCCACCAAGGAGCCTGAGACTCCCGTCCACAAGAACCTCTTCCGCCCCTCAGTGCTAGGACCAAGACACACCTGGGGAATCATGGCTGAACCATGGACCCCACAGTTCTCCTCAGGAAAGTCCCAGATCAGACCCTGAGCTCCACCCAAACAGCTCAGTGCAGCTCAAAGCTGCTGCAGCCATGAACTTATTTATGCCTAAGGTCAGAGGCGTGACCCTTCCTGTCCCCAGGAAGGCAGATCTTGGTGCCACTAGCCACTGCCTGCAAAACCATTTCTCCATTGTCATGAAAGCCCTCTCTAGCCATCCCAGAATCTGGGCTAGGGCAGGGTGAGGACATCACATCTTCTACCACATGTCCTGCCCAGCCCAGGGTGGCGTTGGCCTCTAGCCCATGACACCCCAGTGGTGACAGCTTCGAAAGAAGCTAGAGGACCCGCACACAGAAATCGAGCCCCAAGCACAAGTCCACACCAGCATCTTGTCATCCACACAGCTCCCAGAGGATACAGTCTCTGAGAACTAGAGCTGGACAATCCACTCTGTGCCCTCTTCCTGTCTCCCAAGAGCAACCATCACAGCTGGAGCTGGAGAACAGGCGTGGACACTTCCTGAAGGTGGTAATGCTAGGGGGACCCATGACCCCCCTACTCCTCAGGTGCTTGCAGCACAGGGACTGGAACCAAGATGCCAGACAGAGCAGTGTGCCAACAGCTGTCACCTAAGGGAGGCAGGGGCACCCCAGCCAGCTTAGTACCAGGGCGGGCAGTAGTGTGTGGTGAAGCCTTAGGCAGGAGCAAGGTCAGGGTGTGGTGAGGAGGGGCAGTATCTCGGGGCCTCAGGAGTCCGGGTGTGCGTCCTCCCATCCAACCCTCACAAGCCCATGAAGGCACGGTCCCTGCTGCCCCTGGGGTCACCATGAGACACACACCAGGTACTGCATGCCTCAAGGGTACAGGCAGGATGCAGAAGCGTGTCCTATAATCCCAGCTATGCAGGAAGCTGAGGAAGGAGTCTACAAGTACAGTCCCAGCCTGGGGAACTTATGAGACCATCTTGAAATAAGAAGTGAGAAGGGCTGGGGGTAGCCCAGGGCTGGGCACGCCTGGTTCCATCCCCAGAAGTGGACGATGGTGGGTTGGTAGCTGGTTGAGAATGCAACCCTGCACCTCAGCTGTACCCTGTGTTCTCTGCCGGGCTGGCTCTGGACACAGACATTGAGCTCTAAGCACACACCCATACCAGCACCTTGCTGTCCAGACAGCTTCCAGATGAAGCAGGAAGGGAAGCACAGACTGCAAGGAGGGTGGAGAACCACACAGGGCAGGAAAGGGAGACTCTGGGCCAGAGCTCTCTCCGGTCAGAAATTATTAAAACTATAAGTTAAACCTTATCTAAAATCCAGACATATGTAAAGTATGATCACAATAAAAATGTAGATTTTAGTCGCCTCCGGACACTATTCAAATAAAATGAGTCACTCACTACCACCACCCCAGGGTCCCAATCAGAGGGCTCAGACAGCGGAAGTGTGGGGCCCATTCTCAACCTTCAAGTATACAGCAAACATTCATGAATACCTCGGCACCCCATAAGCCACCCGGCTGCAGTCTGTGTCTCTAGCTCCACTAGGCAAAGTCACTGACCTTCCAGGGCACAGACCAAACATCAGGACCTGCGCATCCACGAGAACATGGCTCAGGGCTGCCCGAGTGAGCTGGGAGACATGCTAGCTGCATTGGGCATCTGATGGTGCCAACAATTCAAACTGCACTCCCGAAGCAGCCTCACTGACCCCAGGGAACGTGGCCTGGGGCACCAGGAGGGACTCAGGCCAGTGCTCCGGGCCAGACTGGCTTCTGCTGAGAGACAGCCCTACACAGAACACAGCGGAGGCTTGTTCTACCCGTCAGTTGGGGACCTGGGTACCCAGGATCCAGGGAGGAGCCCTGAGGCTGCAAGGAGCTGGCCATGTGGCCACTGCACCCACACCCTGACATAACCTGTGCCCAGCATTCCCTGGAGCGAGGCCCCCCCGCCTGCTGTCTGCAGAGGAAACACAGGTGAGCAAACCAGCAGCCCTAGGCTGACTCCCAAGCAGCCTGCTCAGCTTCCTGTCCTTGACTCCAACCTTGGGCAGCCAATTGGTGCAGCAGGCACATCCGGGCTGGCAGTAGGCAGCCTGGGTCTTTGTGCCACAAGCCAGAGTGCCCTAAGGAGTAGGGGCCGGAGTGAGCAGGGTGGAATACCACAGATGCAGGGCGCATCCTGAGCAGAGCTGGAGAAGGGCACTGTGGAGGCCGAGAGCCAAGCACGTCCTGGGCGGTGCGAGTCACTCGGTGGTCAGACACAAGGAGGCCCGAGGCCACGGCTGCGGCCACCAGAGCAGAGGAGCTGCACCCCCACGCCTGAAGGGTGCGCCATCATCTGAGTGCTCCGCACCCGGCCCCTGCGTATTGTCGCATGTGCGTCTATCCAGGCTTGCATTCCAGCACGCGGTAAGGGTGGTGACTGGCACTAAGTTCTGTCTCCCAGTGAAAGGGACCATTCCCAGGACTCTGGAAGGATCGTGATGCAATGTGCGCATGTGCCAGTCCCCACAGAGAATGTGTTCATTATGCATCACAAATATATACTAACAGAAAAAAGAAGGAAAAGGGCAGAAAAGACTAAAACCTTGAGGTGGCGCACCCTTCTGTCAGCACTGGCTTAGCCCTTGGCTTCTCACTCAGGGATCATTCGTGGCCCGTGATGGCAGGCAGTTTTCTGTGGCCCGGAGGTCGGGGACGTCCTCAGGTCAAAACTGTGGATGCTGCCTGTTCTCCTCCAAGGCCTGCGCACCCAGAGCTGTGGCCACTCCTTCCTGACTGCAGAAGGGCAGGCTGTGCAAGCAGCTGGCGCCCGCGACACACGGGACTCCTGAGCAAGCTGCTGCCACTCCAGGAGCACCTCATGCTGGTCCCACAGCCCACAGCCTGCAGCACAGGGCAGACTGCCAGGCAGGACCCTCACAGACCCTGGCATGGAATCAGCACAGGCCCCGGCTCGGTTCCGTTAGGAGCCAGGCTGCAGCAGCACTGCCAACGCCAGCGTCCTCCCACTACGGCAAGCGCCTTCTCTCCTTGATGC